TGTCTGTGCCTCTGTCTCTGTCTGTGCCTCTGTCTGTGCCTCTGCCTCTGTCTGTGTCTGTGCCTCTGTCTGTGTCTGTGCCTCTGTCTGTGCCTCTGCCTCTGTCTGTGTCTGTGCCTCTGTCTGTGCCTCTGCCTCTGTCTGTGTCTGTGCCTCTGTCTGTGCCTCTGCCTCTGTCTGTGTCTGTGCCTCTGTCTCTGTCTGTGCCTCTGTCTCTGTCTGTGCCTCTGTCTGTGTCTGTGCCTCTGTCTCTGTCTGTGCCTCTGTCTCTGTCTGTGCCTCTGTCTCTGTCTGTGCCTCTGTCTCTGTCTGTGCCTCTGTCTGTGTCTGTGCCTCTGTCTCTGTCTGTGCCTCTGTCTCTGTCTGTGCCTCTGTCTCTGTCTGTGCCTCTGTCTGTGCCTCTGTCTCTGTCTGTGCCTCTGTCTGTGTCTGTGCCTCTGTCTGTGCCTCTGTCTCTGTCTGTGCCTCTGTCTCTGTCTGTGCCTCTGTCTGTGTCTGTGCCTCTCGTTCCTTCTCCCTCACAGCAGTCTTCTTGTTGACGACAGTGGAGTTAAAGTGAGGAGCTGGTCAGTGCAGCAGGAGAGAGCTCAGGTCTGGAGCGGAAAGTAAAGTCCACACATGGAACTCGTTACAGCAGGAATGTTTTACACTGTAAAAAACCATCAATATGAGGTAATAATGGCTTAATATTACCCATTAATAATAAGAGGACCAGAGAGAGGACCAGAGAGAGGACCAGAGAGAGACCAGAGAGAGACCAGAGAAAGACCAGAGAGAGACCAGAGAGAGACCAGAGAGAGAGACCAGAGAGAGGTCCAGAGAGAGGACCAGAGAGAGACCAGAGAGAGACCAGAGAGAGACCAGAGAGAGACCAGAGAGAGACCAGAGAGAGAGACCAGAGAGAGGACCAGAGAGAGAGACCAGAGAGAGACCAGAGAGAGAGACCAGAGAGAGAGACCAGAGAGAGAGACCAGAGAGAGAGACCAGAGAGAGACCAGAGAGAGACCAGAGAGAGACCAGAGAGAGACCAGAGAGAGAGACCAGAGAGAGATATGGTAAAAACTACTCGATTCAAGCAATTATTACTTCATATTTTATAGTTTTTTGCAGTGTGGTCTCTGTCTCTTTCCAATGAGACAAAGCCTTTTCAATTATTAATTCAAGAACTGTTTCTTTATTTTAGACATTTATTTTTAAAGCAATTTTTGAATAATTTTGCAGTGTAGGAGTTTGTTCCAGCTTCTCATATTCTCTCTCTCTCTCTCTCTCTCTCTCTCTCTCTCAGCTGATGCACCTCAGAAATGCCTTTTCTCTGATGAGACGATGAGCACACACACCCGCGGGGCCCCCACAGTCTTCCTCATAACCTGCCTGTGGCTCCTGCTGTGGCCCCTGCTGTGTGCGTCTCCTGCTGCTGCTGCTGATGCGCCGGACCCCGGAGGAGGCGTCCACTTCGTCGGAGGGAACTATGAGGGCCACCCCATGCTGTACTTTGGCAGAGGGGAGGTGGAGGAGCTGCAGCAGGCGGCGGCGGGCTCTCACCGCGCTCTCGCCAAACTGATCCGAGAGGCGGCGGAGGAGATGCTGGAGCGCCCGGAGGAATACCTGCCGCCCTGGAGCCCCGCCGACTTCACCAGCCGCTGGAACGAGGTCTACGGCAACAACCTGGGCCTGCTGTCCATGTTCTGCCTGCTCTACCCGCACCGCGCCGGCGCTCTGGACATGGCCCTAGACTACATGGAGAGGATGGCGGCGCAGCCTAGTTGGTATTCTCCTGTTTTCATTATTTCTTTTTTTATTCATGATTACGATGGAGAGATCCAGGGAAATGTCAGTGTTGCATCAGCAGTGACAGTAGCAAGGGGAGGGGCTGCTTTAATATACTGTTCATTGTTATAGTTTCATACATTTCTTCGTATGTTCTGATCATATTTAACACATGCATAAATGAAGGCCCCTACCTTTAACCCTGAACACAGCTCTATCAGCTGTCGATCTCCAGAGCAGAGAGAAACACCAGGAAGTGTTGAGAAATACACAGGACGTGTTGATATCTGATTAGGGCGAGTTACTGACGATGACTCCTTCAAGTTTTAGCCGGAAAATGATCATCATGAGTCACGGATCCTTCAAACGCCTCGTTATTAAATCATGTTGTGTCCTGTTAAATAATGATAATAATAAATCACATCCATATTCATTCTCTCCAAACACAGTGGTGATAAACTACTACTGAAGCCACGGCTGCCCTGGGGCACACTGACAGAAGCGAGGCAATCAGTCTGTGCCATTGGCCCCTCCCACCACCACCAATATATGTACAAATATAATAATAATAAAATAATAATGTCCATCCATCCATTTTCTTCCGCTTCATCCGTTGCCGGGTCGCAGAATAATAATAATAATGCATTGGTTTTTTTACAGTGCATTTCTGAACACTCAAAGACACAAACAGATATATTTAAAACGAGGGTTACGTATGTAACCACGGTTCTATGAATCCCGGATGACCGCCAGAGGGCGGTGCATAGCACTGAATGTTCCCTTCGCGCATGCGCAGTTCGAGTAATAATACCAAATGAGTCACACCTGTGACCCCCTGGGTGACACACCGGAGGTAATAAAGTCCAGCGTCATCCAGCACTCTGTTCCTGCAGAATCTTCTCGCGGATGCAAGGACCCTGAGTGACAGAGCGCCTCTGGCGGTCATCCGGGATTCATAGAACCGTGGTTACATACGTAACCCTCGTTCTATTTCATCCCTTCAGACCGCCAGAGGGCGGTGCATAGCACTGAATGACCTTATACCAGCTATGTCACGAAGGAACTTGACCACACACCTCACGGAGGAGAGCCAGAGGATTCCTGAAGGACCACGCCAAGAGGAGCCGGAGTGGCCACATTGATGTTATAGAATCTGGTGAACGTGCTCGGTGTAGCCCAAGACGCAGCAGCACAAATAGTTCCCAACGGCACCCCGCGCATAGCGGCCCAGGAGGTAGAGACACCCCTGGTAGAATGGGCCCTCACCGTGGCTGGCGGGTCGCGGCCGGCCGAAATATACGCCTGACTGATAACGTCAACCACCCAGTGGGAAAGGCGTTGCTTCGAAAGCGGACTCCCCAGTCTAGCACCACCATAAGCAACAAAGAGCTGGTCTGAGCGCCTCACACCTGCCGTCGCAGCAACGTAGGCCTCCAATGCCCTCACAGGACACAGCAGGTGCAGTCTGTCCTCACCCCCATCCAGGGGGGACACAAACCGCGCCAACCTCAAAGGCCGGTTACAATAGTCACGGAAAGCACCTTAGGGAGGAAAGTGGGATTAGGCCACAAGACCACGCCAGCCCTCTCAGGATCCCAGTGTAGGCATGAGGGACTGACAGAAAGTGCATGTAACTCACCGACCCTTTTTGCAGAGACCACAGCCAACAGGAAAGCAGTCTTATAGGAGAGCCACTTGAGGTCCGTTCGGGCCAATGGCTCATACGGAGGGCGGCAGAGAGACTCCAACACCAAGGCCAGGTCCCAAACCGGAGACCGCGCGGGCACGCGAGGGTGCAGCCTACGAGCTCCGCGTAAAAAGAGAGACACCAGGTTATGGCCCCCCACAGTACAGTTATCAACCAGGCCATGATAACATGAAATAGCAGCAACATATACCTTCAGAGTAGATGGGGCCCGACCTTCATCCAGGAGAGACTGAAGGAATTCCAGGACAACCGCCACCGGGCACGACACGGGATCCCGACCGCGGGAAGAACACCAGCGGGAGAACAACTTCCACCTGTTCTCATACAGCCGCCGAGTAGAGGCCGCCCTGGCATTCAGGAGTGTACGCCTGACAGGGCCAGTGACATCGAGTGCCCGCAGCTCGGGCCAGCCAACGGCCATACCCATAACTTGAGGCGGTGAGGACAGGGATGCCACACCTGACCGTCCAGCTGTGAGAGCAGATCCCGCCTGGGAGGGAGAGGCCAGGGGGGAGCCCAACAAAGTCTGAGTAGCAGTGGAAACCAGGGCCGTGCAGGCCAAAACGGAGCCACCAGTAATAAACTGTGCCCCGCCCGAAGGACCCTCTGGAGGGTTGGCCAGATCAGAGGAAAAGGGGGGAAGGCGTACAGGAGGGCCTGAGGCCAACTGTGCGCCAGGGCATCCTGGCCGAGAGAGCCCGGAACCCCGTCCAGGGAAAAAAACTGAGGGCAATGAGTGGAGGCCACCGAAGCGAACAGGTCCACCTGTGCCCGACCAAAGAGGCCCCACACCCTCTGGACCACACCGGGGTGGAGACACCATTCCCCCGGGGCAGGCCTCCCGCGAGACAGGGAGTCCGCCACGCGATTGCAGTCCCCTGGCAGATACGCTGCACGCAGTGTAGCCAGGCGAGGCGCAGCCCAAACCAGCAGAGCCTGAGACACCTCGAGGAGCCGAGCCGATCGGACACCCCCTTGATGGTTGATGTGATACACGACCGAGGTGTTGTCCGAACGAATGAGGACATGTTTCCCCAGCAGGTGAGGCAAAAACTCCTGGAGAGCAAGGTGGACGGCCCGAAGCTCCAGTACATTTATGTGGTCTGAGCGCTCCGCCCGAGACCAAACCCCTCGGGCCAACCTGCGCTGCCACACAGCACCCCATCCCGTACGGCTGGCGTCGGTGGTGACCACTTCCCTGCGGCACACTACCACCCCCAAGGGGACCCCACGTGACAGGAGACCGGTCCCTCCATGGAGCCAAAGCACGAAAACATGCTCACGTCACCTGTAACCGTCTGTGGCGGTGACGAACGGCATCCAAACGAAACCCGTTCAGCCACCTCTGCAACGGGCGAAGCGAAAGCAGCCCGAGTGGAACCACACGAGAGATCGAGGCCAGCTTCCCCACCAGCTGTAGAAAGCTGACGTAACCGTGCAGGGTGCCAAGACCGAAACGGGACACCACACCGTGGATGTCGACCAGGCGGCGCACCGACGGACGCGCCGTCATAGTCACCGTGTTCAGACTCAGGCCAAGAAAAACAGCGGCCTGCGAAGGTACCAGGCTGCTCTTTTCGAAATTGACCCTGAACCCCAAGCGGGCGACATGAGTCAGAATGCGCTCCGTATCTCCCAAGGACCGTGCCCTGGACGGGGCGCAGATCAACCAATCGTCCAGATAAGGCAACACCTTCATGCCACTGGCCTGCAGCGGAGCAAGAGCCGCCTTCACGCATCGGGTGAAAACCCTCGGAGAGAGAGAGAGGCCAAAGGGAAGAACCCTGAACTGCCAGTGAACGCCCCGATAGGCGAACCGGAGGAACCGCCGGTGGGGCTGCGCAATGGGCACGTGAAAATACGCGTCCCTCAAATCTACGGACGTGAACCATTCCCCGGCCCCAACAGTCTGAAGGACTTCCGCAGTCGTCAGCATGCGAAATGGAATGACTTCAGGAAATGATTCAAGCCCCTCAGATCCAGAATTGGTCGAAAACCCCCCGTCTTCTTGGGCACGAGAAAATAACGGGAGTAATAACCCCTGGGTTGCAGCAGCGGATCTACCGCCTCGATGGCACCCTTGGTCAGGAGGGCGGAGAGCTCCTGATCCAAGATAAAGGCTTTTGCCGGGTCCGAGAACAAAGTAACCTTGACCCGGCCCGACAAGTGCGGCCGGCGTCGGAATTGCAGACGGTATCCGTGGGTCAATGTGGCAACCACCCACGGATCCCGAGCTCGAGCAGCCCAACACTCGAGCTGCTGATGGGAAAAATGTCCGACGCTCGGCCCTGAGGCGTCAATTCCGTGCCCCCCGCCCCCTAGGGGCTCTGGGGGGACCCCGCCCAGGACCAGCCGCGGCGCCACTTGGCTGGCGGTTCGGGCGCCTATGTACGGGTGGGGCACGAAAATTCCCGGCAGGCCTGACCTGGGGAAAACGCTGAGCACCAGACCAATCCCGAGGAGGCTGCCGAACACCGGGGGCCACCATCGGGCGCAAAAACTGCCGGGGAGGGCGCACCACCCTGCTAAGGCTAGAAAGTTGCTGTCTAGTCTGACCAGCATGGACAGTCCGGTCCAATGCTTCCTGGGCAGCCGTCCCAAACATCTGACCCGGCTCGACAGGCACGTCACGGAGGGTCCTACGACAGGCCTCAGTCAGGGGAGACTGAGCCAGCCATACCTGCCGACGAGCCTGTACAAGGACCGACATGACCCGTCCGAGTTCCCTGGTCATCAAGGCAAAAGCATGCAGAGCTGCGTCGCTAAACGCAGTAACATCAGTGCCCACAGCACTACCCTCTTGGAGGGAGGCAGACAGGGCAAGCAGCAGATGCGCTAAGGAGTTACCAATACGGCCAGCTCGAGCACCAGAATTGTAGGCCTTTGTTAGCAAGTGATCCGTCGCACGACACTGGCTCCGAGGGCACCTCACATTCTCCCGCAAGGACTCCTCTGGAGAAACAATGAGGGAGGCAACCGCCGGCTCAACAGCCGGCATGCAATCCAGACCAGCCGAAGAGGCATCGTGCATCGCGGCCAAAGCCCGACCCTCAGCCGACAGCTTAGAGAGACGGCTGGGGTCCCTCCAGCACGCGTGTAGCTCCTTCAGATACTCCGCGGACGGGGGCACAACAAAAGCAGGAGACGAACCACCACGCCTGAAAAAAGCACTGCCAGGGTCAGCCTGTCCCGACTGGGGAAGTTCCACCTGCAGACGGGATAAGGCCCTGCGAAGAACCTCCTGCATTGAGCCGTCACCAGACCGGCTGGACACACTATGTGCGGAAGAATAAGCATCGTCCCCCGAAAGGGACCGCGCGTCATCCTCGTCCCGGAAGCACGAAGCAGATGCCGCCAGAGAAAGCACATCCTCTTCCGGATGGAGGGATGGCATGGAGCAAGAACCAGCCCCAGAGACGGCATCAGCAGCACAACGTGCCTGGAATGCAGATTTCATCGCCTCCAACTCTGCAGATAACTGCTCCACCCTCGACACCAGGACAGCATCCGGCTTGGCCTGCTTGGAAGGACCATGGCCATCAGACCGCTCCCCCGAAGCACAGGCCTCAGCACGGCGCTTAGAACGCCGAGGGGGCGGAGCCACAGCAGGTCCCACTGGCAAACTACCACCGTCGCCAGACGAAGGCAGCTGAACCAGCCTCGCCACCCTAACAGCCCAGGGCAAGCAGCAGCAGTTCATGCACGGGTTATCGGACACTGCCTCCCTCAAGTGAGTGGGGCCGAGGCACGCCGGACACAGGTCATGGCCGTCATCAACATCGAGTGCTGACCCGCAGCCCACACACGCATGTGACCCGTCCATAACAAGGTTGTTTTTAATTAAATTATTATTCTTGTTTTGTCTGTCTGTGTCGTTAATTCAATATGGAATTAATCCCAAACGGTATACAAACTGCAGAACTGAATCAGCGTACTGCAGTTTCACAACAGAAAAGCCAAATATAGCACGGTGGAGGAGCGGACGCGCGAACAGCAGCCTTCACACCACACAATGCACCCGCAGCAAAATGCCACTCGAATAAAGTAGTGATGGAGGAGAGGGCGCGCGAACAGCAGCCTTCACACCACACAATACACCGGCAGTAAAACGCCAACTCAAAAATAAAGTAGTGATGGAGGAGAGGGCGCGCTAACAGCAGCCTTCACACCACACAATACACCGGCCACAGACTAAACACAGGCAGCAAATGCTAACCCAAACAAGAACTGATGGAGGAGCGGGACAACGAACCGCAGCCTTCACACCACAGAGGACACCGGTAACAAAAACTAACCCAAAGAAGAACTGATGGAGGAGCGGGCACGCGAACAGCAGCCTTCACACCACAGAGGACACGGGTAGCAAAAACTAACCCAACTAAGAACTGATGGAGGAGCGGAACCGCAGCCTCACACCACACAATACACAGGTAGCAAAATGCTAACCCAAATAAGAACCGATGGAGGAGCGGGCTAACGAACCGCAGCCTCACACCACTCAATACACAGTTAGCTAAGCTAACTCAAACATGCACAGGCGGAGGAGCAGGCCAACGAACCGCAGCCTTCACACCACGAAATGCATGTACCAAAAGAAAGTACTGACGGAGGAGCGGGCGCCACAGCAGCCTTCACACCAACCAATACACACGTATAAGACAGAAAACACCAATAAATACCCGAAGGACAACGTCACCGTCGCGCCCCACGGAGGGCGAACCGCAGCTCCGATGAAGAGGGCTTTCAGCGACAGACGTTGACGAAGTTCAAGCAACAACGATTCGAACCGCACGCGAGAAGAAAAAAGGAACAGAGTGCTGGATGACGCTGGACTTTATTACCTCCGGTGTGTCACCCAGGGGGTCACAGGTGTGACTCATTTGGTATTATTACTCGAACTGCGCATGCGCGAAGGGAACATTCAGTGCTATGCACCGCCCTCTGGCGGTCTGAAGGGATGAAATAGAACTAATATTAAAATGCATCATCTCAGGGAACAAGAAAAACACACTTGATTTGTTGTGGATATAGATTAAGACTCGACCCAATCAAACTCCCGGGTCAGGCATTGGTCAGGTGTTGGTCAGGTGTTGGTCAGGCGTTGGTCAGGTGTTGGTCAGGTGTTGGTCAGGTGTTGGTCAGGTGTTGGTCAGGCGTTGGTCAGGCGTTGGTCAGGTGTTGGTCAGGTGTTGGTCAGGTGTTGGTCAGGTGTTGGTCAGGTGTTGGTCAGGTGTTGGTCAGGCGTTGGTCAGGTGTTGGTCAGGCGTTGGTCAGGTGTTGGTCAGGCGTTGGTCAGGTGTTGGTCAGGTGTTGGTCAGGCGTTGGTCAGGCGTTGGTCAGGCGTTGGTCAGGCGTTGGTCAGGTGTTGGTCAGGTGTTGGTCAGGCGTTGGTCAGGTGTTGGTCAGGCGTTGGTCAGGTGTTGGTCAGGTGTTGGTCAGGCGTTGGTCAGGCGTTGGTCAGGTGTTGGTCGGGTGTTGGTCAGGTGTTGGTCAGGTGTTGGTCAGGCATTGGTCAGGCATTGGTCAGGTGTTGGTCGGGCGTTGGTCAGGCGTTGGTCAGGTGTTGGTCAGGCGTTGGTCAGGTGTTGGTCAGGCGTTGGTCAGGCATTGGTCAGGCATTGGTCAGGCGTTGGTCAGGTGTTGGTCAGGCGTTGGTCGGGCGTTGGTCAGGCGTTGGTCAGGTGTTGGTCAGGTGTTGGTCAGGTGTTGGTCAGGTGTTGGTCGGGCGTTGGTCAGGTGTTGGTCAGGCGTTGGTCAGGTGTTGGTCAGGTGTTGGTCAGGCGTTGGTCAGGTGTTGGTCAGGCGTTGGTCAGGTGTTGGTCGGGCGTTGGTCAGGTGTTGGTCAGGTGTTGGTCAGGCGTTGGTCAGGCGTTGGTCAGGCATTGGTCAGGCGTTGGTCAGGTGTTGGTCAGGCGTTGGTCAGGCGTTGGTCAGGTGTTGGTCAGGTGTTGGTCAGGTGTTGGTCAGGCGTTGGTCAGGTGTTGGTCAGGTGTTGGTCAGGCGTTGGTCAGGTGTTGGTCAGGCGTTGGTCAGGTGTTGGTCAGGTGTTGGTCAGGCGTTGGTCAGGTGTTGGTCAGGCGTTGGTCAGGCGTTGGTCAGGCGTTGGTCAGGTGTTGGTCAGGTGTTGGTCAGGTGTTGGTCAGGTGTTGGTCAGGCGTTGGTCAGGCGTTGGTCAGGCGTTGGTCAGGTGTTGGTCGGGCGTTGGTCAGGTGTTGGTCAGGTGTTGGTCGGGGGTTGGTCAGGTGTTGGTCAGGTGTTGGTCAGGTGTTGGTCAGGCGTTGGTCAGGCGTTGGTCAGGTGTTGGTCGGGCGTTGGTCAGGCGTTGGTCAGGTGTTGGTCAGGGGTTGGTCAGGTGTTGGTCAGGTGTTGGTCGGGCGTTGGTCAGGCGTTGGTCAGGTGTTGGTCAGGTGTTGGTCAGGCGTTGGTCAGGCGTTGGTCAGGCGTTGGTCAGGCGTTGGTCAGGTGTTGGTCAGGTGTTGGTCAGGCGTTGGTCAGGTGTTGGTCAGGTGTTGGTCAGGTGTTGGTCAGGCGTTGGTCAGGTGTTGGTCAGGTGTTGGTCAGGTGTTGGTCAGGCGTTGGTCAGGCGTTGGTCAGGCGTTGGTCAGGCGTTGGTCAGGCGTTGGTCAGGCGTTGGTCAGGTGTTGGTCAGGTGTTGGTCAGGCGTTGGTCAGGCGTTGGTCAGGCGTTGGTCAGGCGTTGGTCAGGTGTTGGTCAGGCGTTGGTCAGGCGTTGGTCAGGTGTTGGTCGGGTGTTGGTCAGGTGTTGGTCAGGTGTTGGTCAGGTGTTGGTCAGGTGTTGGTCAGGCGTTGGTCAGGCGTTGGTCAGGCGTTGGTCAGGTGTTGGTCAGGTGTTGGTCAGGTGTTGGTCAGGCGTTGGTCAGGGTTGGTCAGGTGTTGGTCAGGTGTTGGTCAGGTGTTGGTCAGGTGTTGGTCAGGTGTTGGTCAGGCGTTGGTCAGGTGTTGGTCAGGTGTTGGTCAGGTGTTGGTCAGGTGTTGGTCAGGCGTTGGTCAGGTGTTGGTCAGGCGTTGGTCAGGCGTTGGTCAGGCGTTGGTCAGGTGTTGGTCAGGTGTTGGTCAGGTGTTGGTCAGGTGTTGGTCAGGCGTTGGTCAGGTGTTGGTCAGGTGTTGGTCAGGTGTTGGTCAGGCGTTGGTCAGGTGTTGGTCAGGTGTTGGTCAGGTGTTGGTCAGGGTTGGTCAGGTGTTGGTCAGGCGTTGGTCAGGTGTTGGTCAGGCGTTGGTCAGGCGTTGGTCAGGTGTTGGTCAGGTGTTGGTCAGGTGTTGGTCAGGCGTTGGTCAGGCGTTGGTCAGGTGTTGGTCAGGTGTTGGTTCAGGTGTTGGTCAGGTGTTGGTCCGGCGTTGGTCAGGTGTTGGTCAGGTGTTGGTCAGGTGTTGGTCAGGTGTTGGTCAGGTGTTGGTCAGGTGTTGGTCCGGCGTTGGTCAGGTGTTGGTCAGGTGTTGGTCAGGTGTTGGTCAGGTGTTGGTCAGGTGTTGGTCAGGCGTTGGTCAGGTGTTGGTCAGGTGTTGGTCAGGTGTTGGTCAGGTGTTGGTCAGGTGTTGGTCAGGTGTTGGTCAGGCGTTGGTAGGTGTTGGTCGGGTGTGTTGGTCAGGCGTTGGTCAGGCGTTGGTCAGGGCGGTTGGTCAGGTGTTGGTCAGGTGTTGGTCAGGTGTTGGTCAGGTGTTGGTTGGTCGGGGCGTTGGTCAGGTGTTGGTCAGGTGTTGGTCAGGTGTTGGTCAGGTGTTGGTCAGGTGTTGGTCGGGCGTTGGTCAGGTGTTGGTCAGGTGTTGGTCAGGTGTTGGTCCGGCGTTGGTCAGGTGTTGGTCAGGTGTTGGTCGGGCGTTGGTCAGGTGTTGGTCAGGTGTTGGTCAGGTGTTGGTCAGGTGTTGGTCAGGTGTTGGTCAGGTGTTGGTCAGGCGTTGGTCAGGTGTTGGTCCGGCGTTGGTCAGGCGTTGGTCCGGCGTTGGTCAGGTGTTGGTCAGGCGTTGGTCAGGTGTTGGTCAGGCGTTGGTCAGGCGTTGGTCAGGTGTTGGTCAGGCGTTGGTCAGGTGTTGGTCAGGTGTTGGTCCGGCGTTGGTCAGGTGTTGGTCAGGCGTTGGTCCGGCGTTGGTCAGGCGTTGGTCAGGCGTTGGTCAGGTGTTGGTCAGGCGTTGGTCAGGTGTTGGTCAGGTGTTGGTCAGGTGTTGGTCAGGTGATGTCACACACTGAGACTGCTTCTGCTGCTGTGAATGTTTCTGTAATTGCAGGTTTTCCACTTGACTCTTACTCAGCAGAGTCTGTGCTTTCTGGGATGTCGTCGAGAAACACTTTAGCTTAAACAAAACAGATTTAACAATGTGTCAAAGCCGACGCCGTCTGATGCTGGAATGTTGTGGTTTTTGATGCCTCTTCGTCAGGAAAAAACTTTTATGGTCCAACAAAAGTAAAAGTGTAGATTCTCTGAGCGCGTCCTGGTGCGGAGTTTCTGCTCAGGCTGCACTGCAAAAAGGGATTTAACTAGATTCACCTACGGGAGAAAGCAAATTGGTCTTGTTTTGATTCTGATCGAAAGGAGTGAGACCAGAGAGAGAGAGACAAGAGAGAGAGAGACCAGAGAGAGAGAGACCAGAGAGAGAGACCAGAGAGAGAGAGAGAGAGACGAGAGAGAGAGACGAGAGGGAGATCAGATGGAGAGACCAGAGGGAGAGACCAGAGAGAGAGAGAGACCAGAGATAGACCAGAGAGACACTAGAGAGAGAGGGATAGAGAGAGACTAGAGAGAGAGAGAGATAGAGATAGACCAGAGTGAGACACCAGAGAGACCAGAGAGACACCAGAGAGAGAGAGAGGGATAGAGAGAGATAGAGAGAGACCAGAGAGACACTAGAGAGAGAGAGACCAGAGAGAGACTATTATTATTATACGATTATCTTCTTTATTTAAAGCAATATTTAACCCTTTAGATTCCTCTTATAACCTTCGTCATAAACCAGCTTTTCTTTCTCACTCCTCGAGTCAAAAAAGAACAAATGTGTTTCCAACGTAAAGCTCCAAACAACTGGAATCTCCTTCACCTCTTTTCCTCTTTTTAAAGTTGCTGTATTAAGGCATCTGTGTCGTGTTTGTAACTGCTACTGAACTTTTGTGTGTTCGTGTGTGCGTGTGTTTGTGCGTGTGCGTGCGTGCGTGTGTTACACTTCACCGTAACTGCTTTTATTTGACAACCGCTGCTGCTGCTTGTGCTGCTATTTTTGAGGGCCCTCTTGAAAACGACATGATGCATCTCAAGAGGCTATTCCTCGTAACAAACCAGAGAGAGAGAGAGACCAGAGAGAGACCAGAAAGAGACCAGAGAGAGACCAGAAAGAGACCAGAGAGAGAGAGACCAGAGAAAGAGAGAGACCAGAGAGAGACCAGAAAGAGACCAGAGAGAGAGACCAGAGAGAGACCAGAGAGAGACCAGAAAGAGACCAGAGAGAGACCAGAAAGAGACCAGAGAGAGAGAGACCAGAGAGAGAGAGAGAGAGACCAGAGAGAGAGAGAAAGAGACCAGAGAGAGACCAGAAAGAGACCAGAGAGAGAGACCAGAGAGAGACCAGAAAGACCAGAGAGAGAGAGACCAGAGAGAGAGACCAGAGAGAGACCAGAGAGAGAGAGAGAGAGAGACCAGAGAGAGAGAGAGAGAGACCAGAGAGAGAGACCAGAGAGAGACCAGAAAGAGACCAGAGAGAGAGACCAGAGAGAGACCAGAGAGAGACCAGAGAGAGAGACCAGAAAGAGACCAGAGAGAGAGAGAGAGAGAGAGAGAGACCAGAGAGACCAGAGAGAGAGAGAGACCAGAGAGAGAGAGAGAGACCAGAGAGAGAGACCAGAGAGAGACCAGAGAGAGAGAGAGAGAGAGACCAGAGAGAGAGACCAGAAAGAGATCAGAAAGAAAGATAAAAACCGCTCGATTCAAGCAATTATCAAATCATATTTTGGTTTTGAGTTCCGTGGTTTTTACTGTGACTGTGTTAAAACTAGACTCTCCAATGAGACAAAACCATTCTTTTCTCATTCCAAGAGAGACATTTCTGTATCTTTTTAAAACAAGATAATTTTGCTTTGTCCCGTTGGAGAATCTAGTTTCAAGACTCAGTCAGATTAAGACACCTTTATCCCACATTTGAGCAGTTTTTGACTCAGTTTTGATCAGTTTTTGCAGTGAACGACGGCGTGGCAGGATCTGGCTGCTCAGATTTCAGCGTCCGAGTGGAAATGTGTTCTGCAGCTGTGTTGGTGAATGATCAAAGGAAATGTCAGAGAAACCACCACACAACAGACACACAACAGACACACAACAGACTCACAACAGACACACAACAGACTCACAACAGACTCACAACAGACTCACAACAGCCACACAACAGACTCACAACAGACTCACAACAGACTCACAACAGACTCACAACAGCCACACAACAGACACACAACAGACTCACAACAGACACACAACAGACTCACAACAGACTCACAACAGACTCACAACAGACTCACAACAGACACACAACAGACTCACAACAGACTCACAACAGACTCACAACAGACTCACAACAGCCACACAACAGACTCACAACAGACTCACAACAGACTCACAGCAGCTTCACAACAGCCACACAACAGACTCACAACAGACTCACAACAGACACACAACAGACTCACAACAGACACACAGCAGACTCACAACAGCCACACAACAGACTCACAACAGACTCACAACAGACTCACAGCAGCTTCACAACAGCCACACAACAGACTCACAACAGACTCACAACAGACACACAACAGACTCACAACAGACACACAACAGACTCACAACAGACTCACAACAGACACACAACAGACTCACAACAGACACACAACAGACTCACAACAGCCACACAACAGACTCACAACAGACTCACAACAGACTCACAGCAGCTTCACAACAGCCACACAACAGACTCACAACAGACTCACAACAGCTTCACAAGAGCCACACAACAGACAAACAACAGACTCACAGCAGCTTCACAACAGCCACACAACAGCCATACAACAGACTCACAACAGACTCACAACAGCCACACAACAGACTCAAAACAGACTCACAACAGCCACACAACAGACTCACAACAGCCACACAACAGACTCACAACAGACTCACAACAGACTCACAGCAGCTTCACAACAGCCACACAACAGACTCACAACAGACTCACAACAGACACACAACAGACTCACAACAGACACACAGCAACTCACAACAGCCACACAACAGACTCACAACAGACTCACAACAGACTCACAGCAGCTTCACAACAGCCACACAACAGACTCACAACAGACTCACAACAGACACACAACAGACTCACAACAGACACACAACAGACTCACAACAGACTCACAACAGACACACAACAGACTCACAACAGACACACAACAGACTCACAACAGCCACACAACAGACTCACAACAGACTCACAACAGACTCACAACAGCCACACAACAGACTCACAACAGACTCACAACAGACTCACAGCAGCTTCACAACAGCCACACAACAGACTCACAACAGCTTCACAAGAGCCACACAACAGACAAACAACAGACTCACAGCAGCTTCACAACAGCCACACAACAGCCATACAACAGACTCACAACAGACTCACAACAGCCACACAACAGACTCAAAACAGACTCACAACAGCCACACAACAGACTCACAACAGACTCACAACAGCTTCACAAGAGCCACACAACAGACACACAACAGACTCACAGCAGCTTCACAACAGCCACACAACAGCCACACAACAGACTCACAACAGACTCACAACAGCCACACAACAGACTCACAACAGACTCACAACAGACTCACAACAGACTCACAACAGACTCACAACAGACTCACAACAAACTCACAACAGACACACAACAGACTCACAATAGACTCACAACAGACTCACAACAGACTCACAACAGCCACACAACAGACTCACAACAGGACAGTAGCTCTCTGCCTTTATCGTCTCAGGACAGTCGCTCTCTTCCTTTATAGTCTCAGGACAGTAGCTCTCTGCCTTTATCGTCTCAGGACAGTCGCTCTCTTCCTTTATAGTCTCAGGACAGTAGCTCTCTGCCTTTATCGTCTCAGGACAGTAGCTCTCTGCCTTTATAGTCTCAGGACAGTAGCTCTCTGCCTTTGTTGTCTCAGATCAGTAGCTCTCTGCCTTTATAGTCTCAGGACAGTAGCTCTCTGCCTTTATAGTCTCAGGACAGTAGCTCTCTGCCTTTATAGTCTCAGGACAGTAGCTTTCTGCCTTTATCGCCCCAGGACAGTAGCTCTCTGCCTTTATCGTCTCAGGACAGTAGCTCTCTGCCTTTATAGTCTCAGGACAGTAGCTCTCTGCCTTTATCGTCTCAGGACAGTAGCTCTCTGCCTTTATAGTCTCAGGACAGTAGCTCTCTGCCTTTATTGTCTCAGGTCAGTAGCTCTCTGCCTTTATAGTCTCAGGACAGTAGCTCTCTGCCTTTATCGACCCAGGACAGTAGCTCTCTGCCTTTATCGTCTCAGGACAGTAGCTCTCTGCCTTTATAGTCTCAGGACAGTAGCTCTCTGCCTTTATAGTCTCAGGACAGTAGCTCTCTGCCTTTATAGTCTCAGGACAGTAGCTCTCTGCCTTTATAGTCTCAGGACTGTAGCTCTCTGCCTTTATCGCCCCAGGACAGTAGCTCTCTGCCTTTATCGTCTCAGGACAGTAGCTCTCTGCCTTTATAGTCTCAGGACAGTAGCTCTCTGCCTTTATAGTCTCAGGACAGTAGCTCTCTGCCTTTATTGTCTCAGGACAGTAGCTCTCTGCCTTTATCGTCCCAGGACAGTAGCTCTCTGGGTGAGATGGAGCAGGTCTACAGGAGGTGCATGCCAGTCCTACTGTACATGTTTTTAGTGTTTTGGGAAACCAGAGCAGACACAGGGAGAACATGCAAACCCAGAAGCCTCTCGGTGTGAAAGTGTCTCAGACGTTCTGAGTTTATTTCCTCTGTTTTTGGTGCAAAATGGGAGGAGCTGTGATTCTGCCTCAAAACTTAGGTTAGGGTGTCACTGTTGTTCACATCCTGCTTTTACCGTAGAGCAAAACTTTACCATAGAGCAACAACACTTTACCATAGAGCAACACTTTACCATAGAGCAACAACACTTTACCATAGAGCAACACTTTACCATAGAGCAACAACACTTTACCATAGAGCAACAACACTTTACTATAGAGCAACAACACTTTACCATAGAGCAACACTTTACCATAGAGCAACAACACTTTACCATAGAGCGACAACACTTTACCATAGAGCAACAACACTTTACCATAGAGCAAGAACACTTTACTATAGAGCAACAACACTTTACCATAGAGCAACACTTTACCATAGAGCAACAACACTTTACTATAGAGCAACAACACTTTACCATAGAGCAACACTTTACCATAGAGCAACAACACTTTACTATAGAGCAACAACACTTTACTATAGAGCAACAACACTTTACCATAGAGCAACAACACTTTACCATAGAGCAACAACACTTTACCATAGAGCAACAACACTTTACTATAGAGCAACAACACTTTACCATAGAGCAACACTTTACCATAGAGCAACAACACTTTACCATAGAGCAACAACACTTTACTATAGAGCAACAACACTTTACCATAGAGCAACACTTTACCATAGAGCAACAACACTTTACTATAGAGCAACAACACTTTACCATAGAGCAACACTTTACCATAGAGCAACAACACTTTACTATAGAGCAACAACACTTTACCATAGAGCAACAACACTTTACTATAGAGCAACAACACTTTACTATAGAGCAACAACACTTTACCATAGAGCAACAACACTTTACTATAGAGCAACAACACTTTACCATAGAGCAACAACACTTTACCATAGAGCAACAACACTTTACCATAGAGCAACAACACTTTACCATAGAGCAACAACACTTTACCATAGAGCAACAACACTTTACCATAGAGCGACAACACTTTACCATAGTGCGACAACACTTTACCATAGAGCAACAACACTTTACTATAGAGCAACAACACTTTACCATAGAGCAACACTTTACCATAGAGCAACAACACTTTACCATAGAGCGACAACACTTTACCATAGAGCAACAACACTTTACCATAGAGCAACAACACTTTACTATAGAGCAACAACACTTTACCATAGAGCAACACTTTACCATAGAGCAACAACACTTTACTATAGAGCAACAACACTTTACCATAGAGCAACACTTTACCATAGAGCAACAACACTTTACTATAGAGCAACAACACTTTACTATAGAGCAACAACACTTTACCATAGAGCAACAACACTTTACTAGAGAGCAACAACACTTTACCATAGAGCAACAACACTTTACCATAGAGCGACAACACTTTACCATAGAGCAACAACACTTTACCATAGAGCGACAACACTTTACCATAGAGCAACAACACTTTACCATAGAGCAACAACACTTTACCATAGAGCAACAACACTTTACCATAGAGCAACAACACTTTACCATAGAGCAACAACACTTTACCATAGAGCGACAACACTTTACCATAGAGCGACAACACTTTACCATAGAGCAACAACACTTTACCATAGAGCAACACTTCATCATAGAGCAACAACACTTTACCATAGAGCGACTCCACTTTACCATAGAGCGACAACACTTTACCATAGAGCAACACTTTACCATAGAGCAACAACACTTTACCATAGAGCAACAACACTTTACCATAGAGCGACAACACTTTACCATAGAGCAACAACACTTTACCATAGAGCGACAACACTTTACCATAGAGCAACAACACTTAACCATAGAGCAACAACACTTTACCATAGATCAACAACACTTAACCATAGAGCAACAACACTTTACCATAGAGCGACAACACTTTACCATAGAGCGACATCACTTTACCATAGAGCAACAACACTTTACCATAGAGCAACAACACTTTACTATAGAGCAACAACACTTTACCATAGAGCGACATCACTTTACCATAGAGCAACAACACTTTACCATAGATCAATAACACTTAACCATAGAGCAACAACACTTTACCATAGAGCAACAACACTTTACCATAGAGCAACAACACTTTACCATAGAGCAACACTTTACCATAGAGCAACAACACTTTACCATAGAGCGACAACACTTTACCATAGAGCAACAACACTTTACCATAGAGCGACAACACTTTACCATAAAGCGACAACACTTTACCATAGAGCAACAACACTTTACCATAGAGCAACAACACTTTACCATAGAGCAACAACACTTTACCATAGAGCAACACTTTACCATAGAGCAACACTTTACCATAGAGCAACAACACTTTACTATAGAGCAACAACACTTTACCATAGAGCAACACTTTACCATAGAGCAACACTTTACTATAGAGCAACAACACTTTACCATAGAGCAACAACACTTTACTAGAGAGCAACAACACTTTACCATAGAGCAACAACACTTTACCATAGAGCGACAACACTTTACCATAGAGCAACAACACTTTACCATAGAGCGACAACACTTTACCATAGAGCAACAACACTTTACCATAGAGCAACAACACTTTACCATAGAGCAACAACACTTTACCATAGAGCAACAACACTTTACCAAGAGCGACAACACTTTACCATAGAGCGACAACACTTTACCATAGAGCAACAACACTTTACCATAGAGCAACACTTCATCATAGAGCAACAACACTTTACCATAGAGCGACTCCACTTTACCATAGAGCGACAACACTTTACCATAGAGCAACACTTTACCATAGAGCAACAACACTTTACCATAGAGCAACAACACTTTACCATAGAGCGACAACACTTTACCATAGAGCAACAACACTTTACCATAGAGACGATAACACTTTACCATAGAGCAACAACACTTAACCATAGAGCAACAACACTTTACCATAGATCAACAACACTTAACCATAGAGCAACAACACTTTACCATAGAGCGACAACACTTTACCATAGAGCGACATCACTTTACCATAGAGCAACAACACTTTACCATAGAGCAACAACACTTTACTATAGAGCAACAACACTTTACCATAGAGCGACATCACTTTACCATAGAGCAACAACACTTTACCATAGATCAACAACACTTAACCATAGAGCAACAACACTTTACCATAGAGCAACAACACTTTACCATAGAGCAACAACACTTTACCATAGAGCAACAACACTTTACCATAGAGCAACACTTTACCATAGAGCAACAACACTTTACCATAGAGCGACAACACTTTACCATAGAGCAACAACACTTTACCATAGAGCGACAACACTTTACCATAGAGCGACAACACTTTACCATAGAGCAACAACACTTTACCATAGAGCAACAACACTTTACCATAGAGCGACAACACTTTACCATAGAGCAACACTTTACCATAGAGCAACACTTTACCATAGAGCAACACTTTATCATAGAGCAACAACACTTTACCATAGGGCGACAACACTTTACCATAGAGCAACAACACTTTACCATAGAGCAACACTTTATCATAGAGCAACAACACTTTACTATAGAGCAACAACACTTTACCATAGAGCAACAACACTTTACTAGAGAGCAACAACACTTTACCATAGAGCAACAACACTTTACCATAGAGCGACAACACTTTACCATAGAGCAACAACACTTTACCATAGAGCGACTCCACTTTACCATAGAGCGACAACACTTTACCATAGAGCAACACTTTACCATAGAGCAACAACACTTTACCATAGAGCAACAACACTTTACCATAGAGCGACAACACTTTACCATAGAGCAACAACACTTTACCATAGAGCGACAACACTTTACCATAGAGCAACAACACTTAACCATAGAGCAACAACACTTTACCATAGATCAACAAACACTTAACCATAGAGCAACAACACTTTACC